TTAAAAATAAAAAAGCAAGTAAATCAAATTTTATGAGATAAAATATTTTATAGTGGGTATGGTAAATACTGCTATGTGGAAATATGTAATTTCTGAGTGATTCTGTGTAGCAAGGCTATAGAAGAAATGTGCCACTGTCTAAATGTGTGCTTCTCCTTCCCTTCCACTTCCCCGGGGTCCGGTCCAGGAACCCGTGCACCCCCTTCCCTTCCACTTCCCCGGGGTCTGGTCCGGAAAACCTGTGCACCCTCTTCCTTCCGCTTCCAGGGGTCTGGTCTGGTCCTGGAGCGACCTCTTAGAACACGCAGCAGATACTGTACCTGTCTCTCCCCCTCCTCCTGTCTCTGTCTCTATGCTTTTCTTGGTCTTGCCTCTACTAATGCTCTTGTTTTTATCTCTACCTCTGAACCTACCATTGTTCTTGTTTCTGAAAAGATTTAAAAGAGGGGCCAGCAGGTGGCGGGTGGTTTAGGCAGCTGGACCCCACATGGCCAACTTTGCAGTTCGAGTCCCGGACCTGGCAGCTTGAAATTCACAGCAGGCCTGTGTGCCCCAGTCCTGAGGACGGAGGAGAGGGCTTGCAGCTCGGCCATCTCCCTGGGGGTGAGGTCTCACTTTCCCTCTCTCTGTCTCTCTCTCTGCTGAGTGCATGTGCCTATAACAAAATTCAAAAAAAAAAAAAGATTTAAAAGAGTTTGAAAATGCTCAGAATATGAAGGGAGAAAATGAGTAGTTGAGGGCAGAGAGAGACGGTAAGGGCAGGGGATTAAGAAGGTGAGTTCACGCTGAGCGGTTAGAAGTGCATGTGTGTAACGGCTAAGACGCTGACAGCCTAGGTGACAGCACAGCACCTCAGTTCCGGCTTTTGGAATGTTCCAAGTGTGAAATAAAATGGCTGGTATGAGGTACGCACAGCTCTTACTGACACGGAGTCAGAACGGAAAGTTTTCTTACGAATATTCATGAATATAATGACTTCAATAACATCTCTGTATGTTAAATTTTATAATTACTGTATTTATATAACTATAATTTATGGCTAACACATTTCACAGAGTTTTAAAAAGTGATAATAAAACTCAGCTGAATAAATATTGGATTGTCAGAAAGGTCATGATGTATTTTTCTGTTTTTCTATGCAAAAATGTGTCATGGCTTTTCCAAGGATCCGCTGTCATCCCTCCTGAGCTGCTCGGTGCAGGGTAGGCTGCAGCGGGATCCGAGGTGAGTGTGCGCCTGCCGTCGCAGGTTCTGGGCATGCTGAGCTCGTCAGACCAGGTGTGCCCGCGGAGAGGAGCGTTCCTCGGACGAGCTGTCACAGTTCTGGAGAGCGACACGCCCAGACACACCGCCGTCGGTTAGAGCATTGAGGATCAGGAGCATCTCTGTAATGATTAGAAAGGAGAAAACAAACTACCTGAGGGCCGTGAGCCAAGATGGCATCTCGCGTCCCATCAGGTTGTCGGGTGCTGCCCACTCTCGTCAGCAGTTAGAGCCGAACACGCTGGGTTGAGCCCGAGGAACTCGGGCAGACCGCAGTGCCAGCTCTCCGAGGTTCGGAACAAAGGCGTGCACCCTCGAAGACACCGAGGTGGCAGACGGACGGATCAAGAGTGGACATTCAGAAGCTTCTGAAGGAGGTCAGAGAAGCCCAAGTGGACAGCTGCGTCATTGCGGGCAGCCGGACCTTTGTGCTGGGTTTGTTTTCTGAGCTCCTAGGATGGT